AAGGAGAATCTGTTCCATGCCTCTCTCCTAGCTTCTGGTGACAGTCTTGACATTCCTTGCCTTGTAGACACATCACTCCAATCTTGGCCTCTGTCACATCATCTTTTCTGTGTGTGCCTCTGTCTTCTCTTCTTTTACAAGACACCAGGCATTAGCTTTAGAGCCCACTCTAACTCCAGAGTGATTTCATCTTGAGATCCTTAACTTAATTATATCTGCAAAGACCCTATTTCCAAATAACGTCACATTCACAGGTATCAGAGATTAGAACTTGGATATATCTTTTTGGGTGGGCGTGGAGGGGGACGGGGAGACACTAGTCAACTCACTATAAATTGAATGAATGGATAACTGTCTTTAGGATCTGATTGGTACTCTAGCCTTGGTTTGTACTTCTAAATGCTGATAAATTTACAACAGGCAAAAGGAAATGCAGAATTAAAGACTGTGTTATATGGTAGAAAGAGCAAAGACTTTAATCAGATGGACCTATGTTCAGTCCTGGTTCTTTATTAGTTAAAAACCTGGTTAGCCTTTTAACCTCTATGAGTCTTGATTTCTTCATTTGTAAAATGGGGATAATATGACCTAGCTCATAAAACTGCTGTGAGAATTAAAAAGAGTTTTCCAGGGACACAGTAGACTCTAACTATTATTATTTCAAGGGAAAAAAAAACTTTAAGATAATACATTTGGAAATGGCCACGTTAAAGATGTGGTCATGTGAGTGTACTGGATCACTTTAAAAGCTACAGCAATTGGCATCAAGGACAATAGTGAGGTGTCCCATCAGAGAGGTGGAGATCAGCAACGAGGACTCCAAGAAAAGATGATTTTTCAGATAGTCAAAGGGACGTTTGGCATCTGGAAAATGAGTAATCAGTTATCTCACCACCTAAGTGGGAGACAATTTGGCAAAATCAAGGCAGGACTCTAAGAAACTGGGATGTCAGGCAAATTTCTAAGATATTTTATTCAGTGTCATTACTATGGTAGGCATTGGAGGTAAAACAACAAGTAAGACATGGACCTTCCAGATAAGAGTTCACCATCTTTTAGATGACATCAGACAGGTAAACAAGACAAAACACAATAATATGAAGTGCTAAAAAAGACTAGGAGCAGAATTAAGGGAGAGACCAGGTAAAACTGCCCGTGGGAGCCTGGGAAGGCTTTAGAGAGGATATGACATTTGAGTGGATTCTTGGAAAATGAATAAGAGTGTGCTGGCTAAAGAAAATAAGGACTTTCCAAGCAGAGGAATAAGAGGCAAAGCCAGGAAAGACTAGTGTACCCGAACTGGAGACAGGAACTGAAGATCAGTCAAAGGCCCAGTTATCTAAACGAGAAATGGAATCAGAGCCTGACTATTCACAGAGACTTACAGCTGATTCCCAAAGCCCTGGGCTATAACTTCCAGTCTTCCTGCCCAAGATGCAGGTTTGTCCTAGAGATCCAGGCAGGAGTGAGCCTAGAGATTTGAGTGAGGTGGTTCTAGCATTTGGGAAAGAAGATACACAGAAACTGATGAACAGTTAGGTACTGACATTAGCCAAAATCAGGGGAGAGACGGGAAATGTTTATGAGAGGTTTATTATGTGACAGATTGTCTATTTAAACTTCACAGCAATCCTGTGATGTAAAAGTAGGCAGAGTAGTGAAATAACGGCTCCAGTCATTAAAAAGCAAAACTGACCTAGTTCCTAGAAAAAGAAAGGTTTCCACAGCTGGTCTCTTTGGTGCTTCCTGCTGACCTAGGCAGCCCTGGGGCCCACAGGTGCTAAGTAGAAATGGTTCCAGCTAACTGAGGAACAGTTCCTGCACCTTGGTTGTTACTGCTCTCACTGCATTTTTCTTTTTTAAACTAAGAGGATTATTGGATTATACTGAGGACAGGGAACAGGACTGTGTATTCAAGCTTCTTGTACATTTGTGTGGCTTCCTGGTGTGCAGTAAATATCTGTTAAATTAGGTTTCCCAGGATGCGCATGGACAACGCTATCTCCAATACTAAATGGAAAACCCACCCTCAAAGACACAGGAAAAATGCATCAGACTTCATAGGCCCTCCGAAGTTAAGAAGCATCTCCTAAAGTGACTATTTGCCTTCCTCGAGTACTCTCCGTTTTCAAGATTTTAGCTGGCTAATTGGTAACTTGTTACCCTCTGTCCACATGGTCACCACCCCGTCTTCGTCCACCTGTACTCTTGAAAACGCCCCTTTCGACCCCAGCCGGGGAGACCCCCGCCCATGAAAAAAATGAGACCATCACAGCCGGGGAAGGCATCGGCCCAGCGAGCCGGGGAACGGGGCTGGGGAAGTAGAGGCGTCCTCAGTGCACTGTAGACGCCGTTTCGGGACAGCGCAGAGGCAGCGCAGGGGCGCGTGAAATCCCCGTGCGTGGAACACCGTTTCCTAGGCCACAGTCCCGGATGCAGGGCGCTGCGCTCGCGGCCCCGCCACCTCCGAGCCGCCCTCCCCGGGGCAGGGTTGGGGGGCAGCGAGCCACAGGTCCCCCCCTCCCACGCTGCCGCCAGGGCGCAGGCGCAGGCGCTCGGGGTGCGGCGGCCGCGGGAAGATGGCGGCGGCGGCAGCGGCGGCGGCGGCCGAGCAGGTCTGTGAGCCCCGCCGTGGCCGCGGACTGGAGGGGCAGGGGCGCCGGGGTCCTGCCGGTCGGGCAGCCGCGGGGTCGGCCGGCAGGCCGGCGGGGGCCGGGGCGCGGAGGGCCGGCAGGAGCAGGGTTCCGCGGGGCGCGGCGGGAGGCGCTGCCCGCAGCCCGGGATGCTGGCAAAGGCCGGGCGAGACCCCGGGCAGGGGCTCCCGCGCTGGGCAGGAGAAGCGAGCTGGGCGCTCGGCCTGGCTGTCCCCTCCGCTGGGATGAGGAGGGGGCGCTGTCCTAAGAGGCCGGAAGGCGGCCGCGGCAGCCGGGACGCGCGGGGACGTGCCCCGCTCCGTGGCAGCGCGAAGATGCGGGTAAAAATAACCTCAGCCCCGGAGCGGCGAGGCTCCCCCGGCAGCAGCCGGGGAACAGCTGTTGCCTGGGTGTCCGCTGGCGGCCACTTCTCGTGTCTGTCATCCCCGCTGTGGATATGCAGACATCCAGATTTCTCCTCCCGCTTTGGCTGTTGCAGATCGAATCACTAGGATAAAACTGTCTCTTGTCCAATCGGTTTAAAATCATTTTTTAAAATGCTTTGTCAAGTAATTCCTGATCTGCATTGTAAACTTGTAACTTAGGAAAGTTTAAAAGGCTATTTCTCCCCAAAAGCAAGCTATACATATGTATTACATATACATGAACGTATGTGTGTAAATATACATATACATACCTATAGTTACTAGGGTGATTGTTATAAAAATAATTTTCATAGTCACTTTTTTCTTTATTTCCCTTTAAAAAAAAAACTATGATGTGATAGTTTCTTTTGAAAAAGTCCCATTCTTCAGCACTTGAAAAAATAAATACGAGTCAAGTAGCCAACATTCTGTTTTTGGTTTTGGTTTTTTTTCTGGAAAGATTTTCTTAGATAATAACTGCTTTTAGAGACCTATTGGATATATATCACTGGAAGAGTCATTCCGAGGGACATACAATATAGAAATCTGCCTTCAAGGAGTTTAAAGTCAAACTGCATAATAAATGCAGAACAATCTGCTAAAGACAATAGGCAAGCTACAGGTTGTAGCCGTAAAATAAAATAAGTAAAATAAAATAAAAGGAATGAGTGAAAGTGAAAGGAGACAAAGCTTGGAGTTGTTGAGATTAAGATTGTGCCTTGGCTTTCCTGATTTCCCTCCTAATTTATCAGCTTCTGTTTTAGACCGTTCTTTTTAAATCTCCCTCCCCTACTGATGTTCTTGAGGTTCCACTGAGGTTCTATTCTTGCTTTACATCTAAACCCGGCAGTTTGATCCGTCCACTTCAAAGTTATATGTTTATGTTTCTAGCCCTGAACTTAACTGAATTTTCTACAAGCACCTCAAACTCAAAAATGTTCGAAACTGGATTGCATCGTATTTACCATTAAAAGGGCTGCAACCATCCATTCACCTGGTTAACCTAGCCAGCAACTTAGGAGCTGGGCCAGTTTAGGGGTGCTCAGGAGAGACCCACATTTGTGGTTTAATGCTGTACTGTTCAAGGCTTGATATTTGAACAAAGAACCCCACATTGTCTTTTTGCTCCAGAGCCCACAAATTATGTAGCAGATGTAACTTGGGAGTCATCTTAGGTCCCTCTGTATCACACTCACATCCAGTCCTGTCAGTTCTATATCTTAACACCGCTTCCCAATCTTTTCTTCATCTCCAGTGCCAAAGCCCAGTCAAGCCCTCATTTGGATTGTTAGAGAAACCTGGTGTTGATACATTCATCTCTAAACTCGTCTATTCCAGTTCATCTCTTTTTGGTTTGATTTTGCTCTAATGCAAATTCTCTTGTATCACTAACCTCTTTCAAATCTTCAGTAGTCCCCCATCGCCTTCAGGATAGAGTCCATCATTCTTGACATGGTACTTATATCCATTCATTTACTGGCCTCCAACCACATCTCTCACCTCATTTTTTGCCCCTTTCCTATACATGCCTGTACACATTTCATATATATCTGCACTTTTGCCTGAATAACTTGTTTATCTCTCAAGATTCAACTGAAACCTCAACTTTTCTTAAAAACCTTCACCGATGCTTGTGCTCGCCAGGTGGAGTTGCATTCCTCTCATGTACCTTTTCCGTCTCTGTTCATTGCTCCCCTACAGCACTTGCCACATTGAACTGCAGTTGTTAATGACCTTGTCTATCTATCCTATTTGCCTGTAAGTAAGTTCACTGAGGGGAGGTGCTATAGGGTGCTCATCTTAGTAGTCTGAGCATCTGGCATATAGTAACTCTTCAATAAATGTTAAATGCATTAAATGAATATAATAGTGCACATGACTTTGCAGAGAAGAGTAAAGATTGCATCCTAGGAGGGATGCATTTTGCCCTGTCTCTTTTCAGACCTCTGTTCAAACTCTGGCTAAGACTGAAATTCCCCATCTGTCAGCGCTGCTACACGTGTCTGTGAACAGTAGAAGAAAGCACACCTCCCTTTCGGTATTTTACTACCTTCAGGGGAAAACTATCAAAATGCATAATCAACTCTAAAATGTCTGCAGTGTGGATGCACCCTAATAGATGTTGCAACTTATGCAGGTACACAACCTACATAACTGTGTTCATCCTGTTTTGTGATCAAATCTGTTGAGTAGACTGAATTATCTTCTACAGAGCCATCTTTACTGTTTCGTGGAATTTAACATTTTCTATCTACCACATTACTCACGATGACCATTCCTGTCTTTTTCCATAAGCCCTCAACCAGCCTGCTACCCCTGCCACCATGATGAGATTCCAGTAGCCCTCTCCTCTCTTTCTAGGCATCCCTAGGATAAAGAAGAATGTTTTCCCCTCATGACGTAAACCATTTCAGGGATAGGAGCCCACCCTTCAAGATGGCTCTTTTTTCTTGTACTCTGCATCACTTTCTTTCCTGCCTCCTGAAGGATCGCGTTTCCCACATTATCCTGCCCTGCTCTGAGATCTGTGGTCTTTGCCTCTCTGGCATCTTTCCCTCTGCCATCAAACATACTAGTCCTCCTCCAAATTGGGGGACGGGGGAGGTACTAACAACAACCAAAAACAAGCACAATTTTTCTCTAACAGTACGTAATTCTTTAGCTAGTCTCCCTCTTTGCTCTTTTCTCCTAAATTCAAAAATAGATGTACACATGCTGGCATCATTTCAGGACTAATTCCTCCTCTCAAAGTTCATCTTATGGAGGCACTTCCTGACAAATCAAGTTCAGCAACAGTACACATCCTCAATTTTCTTACCATTCATTGTGTTTCTCATTTTCCACGTTCCTGCATAAAGTTTCCCAAGACTATGTCCTTGGTTCTTCTCTTCCCGCTATACTGTTTTTCACAGTAAACTGGTACAGCCTCATAGATTTAACTTACCTCAAGGCTAAGGATTCTCAAATCTATCTCTAGTCCAGACTCACCTAATATCCTATCCTTCCCATTGACTTGGGGGCATGTGGTTATTTCTCATTCAGTTCAAATCAACATGTGTAGAATCTTCTCCCTCCTTCATTCCCCATATTTAACTAGTCATCATTCAGTAAACATGTTCTTTTTTTGACCTAGCTACAAATTCAGTTAACTCTTCTCTTGAAATATATTTTTCTCCATCCTTTTTCATCCCACTGTAGTTTAGGCCATCGTTTCCACTAATCTCCATTACTGCAACATCCCCAACAGCCTACTTACAGCCTACCTAGTCCTCTTTCCTAGCTCTCCTACCAATGCCACATTTAGCAGCCTGAAACATACATATGCCATTCATGTTCAGAAATTTCCAATTAAACAGACATAAAGACTAGAATTTACACCCAGCTGTCCAAGAACTTGAACAACCTGCCCTACATTTCCAACTTTATTCTCCCTGAATTACCAGAACTGACCCATCTACTCCTGGTTTCCCTGACAACTGGTTTCCCTGACAGAACGTACCCAAAGAGCCGCATGTGGCTCGCGAGCCACAGTTTGCCGACCCCTGGTCTATACTATTGATTTTGGCACCTGAACATACAGAATCCTTTATTGCATTGCTAATTACTTCATATACCCAAATCACATTTGTATTTCTAGAGGATAATGATCCTGGTCTATATTTCGTTTGTGTTCCTATTTATGTTACTGGTGCTTAAGCATAAAGTGCTTAATAAATACCTATTTAATAAATGAATTTTTTCAGAGTTCTAAAAAATATGTAAATTGTACAGTATCCATTTCTACCCATTTCTTTTGTGTTTGTGATGTGCCAGGTTATTACCTAAAATGTCATATAACCATAGTCTAAATCAGAGGTCTCAAACTTTTTGGTCTCAGGTTCTCTTTATACTCCTAAAAATTACTGAGGATACCAAAGAACTTTTGTTTATATGGGTTATATCCATTGATATTTACCGTATTAGAAATTAAAACAAATTTTTAAACACAGGAATACACAAGCACACATTCCATTAGCTATTAGAGCAATGGTGTCATCACACACAGTCATGTAGCCTGTGGAAAATTCCACTGTCCATTCATGACGGAAGGAGAGTACCAAAGGAAAATAGCATCTCAGTGTTATTTTGAAAATAGTTTTCACCCTCCAGACCTCTGAGAGGGTTCAGGGGACCCCTCCAGAGTTCCCCAGCCCATACTTTGAAAATTGCTTGTCTGAAATAATTTAGCTTTAGCCAGTAGGAGTGATAAATAACAAAGTAGTTCAGCCTTTCCAACTCTTTTTATAGAAATGAAAATATGTATATATATATATATATATATATATATATAATTAAACGATTATAAATCATTAATAAAAACAAGATTACCCACTGTACAATGTATATGTCAAATCTTTCCCCAAATGAGTTAACTGTACACTTTACTGAAGTAGGACTGTTCACAGCAGAGAGTGGAAATATGTTATCAAATAGTCACACTGAAAGTTCTCTACGACACCTGCAAACACAGTAATGGCCTTACTTAGAGCCTGCAACGCAACATGGCTTGAAGTTTACTAGTGGAAAATATATCACTAACCAATTCAGCTTTCTTTGGTTATGAATATGCACTTAATAAATATTTAATTTGACACTTAATAAATGTATCAAAGAGAGGGTATAGCTGTTCCTATGTGTTGTACTTTGTTTTAGCAAAGTTCCAATGGCCCTGTAAAGAAGTCCATGCGTGAGAAGGCTGTTGAGAGAAGAAATGTCAATAAAGAACACAATAGCAACTTCAAAGCCGGATATATTCCAATTGATGAGGATCGCCTCCACAAAACCGGCTTGCGAGGGAGAAAGGGCAACTTAGCCATCTGTGTGATTATCCTCTTGTTTATCCTGGCCGTCATCAACTTAATTGTGAGTATGTAGCACAGAGTATTCGTTTTTTCATTACCATGGGGAAGTTTTCATCTGTTTTTCAGTGAAATCATGGACTTTGTTTCTATAATTTCTTTCAAGACCCTCTTACTTTGTTCTTTTCTACACGTGTTTTATCTCTTATTGCATTTTAATGACTATTTTATATATTAAAAAACCCTAGTATGCCAATATTGCCATGTATTCAATTCATTTAGAAAAAAATGTTCATGGATTCTTCCCTTTAAAGGACTTAACTTTTAAAAGATTAGGATCAAGTCGATGGAAGAGACCTTTGCCAAGGTTATTGTATTGCCTTCACCTTTCCTAAAAAATATAACCCTGTTTATTTTCATTCAACTTTTCCCATACTTAGCCTTGTCTCCTTGGCTAGATTTTAAAATTGTAAACCCTTGGATGGCAGTAAAGGGTTATTTTTTAGAGTCTTAAATCCCTGTTGTCAAAGCATGAAAGGATCCGATAGGCTGGTTTACATTAAGGTGCTAAGGACCAGGTATGTTGCCTTTTCCAAAAATATTTGCTTCTTTAATGAAGAAGACTTTCAATCCAAGGCCATAACTAGGGTTAGATTTGAAACCCTCCGGCATGTGTGTGGATACATATTTTCAGAGCATGATTATTGGTGTACTTACCACTCACTGATCATAAACGTGGACTTCGGCAGTTCTAAAGTGATTCCATTTACTTTATTTTTTACTTCTAATACCCTCAAACCAGTCCTTTGTATTTATATACATCCAAATCATTTGTGTCCAATTCTTTACTTAAATCAAAAAGAACTGGTACTGTAAATAGCTTTACTAGGAGCACATATTCTGAATTTATTTTATTTTGTAAATTTATTTGCTTGGAAACTTTTGATTAAGATGGCTGAGAAAAGACATTATCATCCCCTTCCTCTCTAAAACGCTCATCCCAAGGTGAAAATGTCAAGAGACAGAAATGTCTTAGAAGAAAGTAGGAGTTAACTGAAATCCTTAATCATACTATTTATATGTAGACAAAAAGGAGGAGGAGGAATAGCAGATAACTTACCAGAGAAGAGAAACTGCTGTGTGTGTCGGAGAGGAGGTTGCAGGGCGTGTTGGTGAAAGCGCCTTGCAGAATCCTGAAAAGCCTCAGGAACTGGAAGTACAAGTACCCCGAAAAGCTGAAGTGAGGCGGGAACTGAAAACAGAGCTTGTTTGAAAATCTGTAGAAGGAGCCATGAGATCCTTAGCCTTTCTCTGCCTTCCAGCCAGCAGTGAGGCAACCACTGCTCCTAACCCCCGCACAAAAATACACTGAACCACAGAGGATTCTCTCTGCCTGAGGCTATAGCACAGAAGAGGTAGGGATGGGGCTGCATACAGAAAGCAGGAAGTCTGAATCCTGAGCACTGAGACTCCCTTTCCCAGGCTCCCTTGTCCTTATCCTCCACCTCCTGTTTCCTGATACTCCAGGCAAGAGATAAAACAGCTGCCTCTGGAGAAACTGAAGCACCTCAGAGAAAAAAACCTGAAGATACTGACACTTGTCAGGTCCCAGTGAAAAAGTCACATGATCTCCCTCCTGTGAAGCCTGTCAGTCACAAGCCCCACCCCACACAGAGAACTTTCTTTGGACTTTTTGCAACCTCACTGTTAAATATGAACACTGAACCACAAAGGATCAATATATTTTGGAGGAAAAACCCCAGAATTGAAAAATGATAGACCAAAAACATCCACACCATGGGGAAAGTAGGACTTCAAGGGGATAGAAAAAAATGCAATGAATAACAGAAAAAAAAAACCTAAAATGAGTATCTTCAGAGAAATAAAAAGATATTACATCCATGAAACAAGGATATCATGCCATCAAAAAGGAACAATTAAAAGAGACGGAACAACTCATGGAAATATACACACATGGATGGATGGATGGATGGATGGATGGATGGATGGATGGATGGATGGATGAATGAATAGATGATAGATATTGGAAGATAAAGAAAAGGAACTTTTCTTCCAGAAAGTTCAATAAAATTAAAGAATTAATCCAAGAACTGTAACATTCTGTTAGTAAGAGTTTCAGAAACAGAAGAGGAACACACTGGGGAGAAAGTTGTCAAATAAATAAAGAAAATTTCTGAGAACAAATTGAAAACTACGTTCTGAGTCCAGCATAATACATAGAAAAGACTCACACCAAGGTCACTACTGTGAAATTTAAGAAAACCGGGAATAAAGAGAAGATCCTAAAATCTTCCAGAGGAAAAAGAAACAGGTTATATATAAAGAATACAAAATCAGAGTGGCATTTGACCTCCCAAAAGCAGCACTGTAAACTAGAAAGCAAGAAAGCAACGGCCTTCAAAATTCAGAGAGAAAACCGTTTCTAATCTAGAAATGTATACCAGCCTAGACTATCAATCAGATGTGAGGGATTATAAAGACATTTTTAAGTCTCAAAAAATTTTACTTCACATTTTTAAGGAGGCCACTGGAGGATGTGCACTACCAAAAGAAAGTACTAAACCAAGAAAGTTGAAGATAAGGATATAGGAAACTGGATATCTAGAGAGAGAAAGAGGAGAAAAATGGAAGTTCCAGCATGAAAGTAAAGGAAAAATTTCATGATTACAGCTGTGCAGCAGACCCGAGGGGTAACAGTCCAGATGGAAGCAAGAAAATAGGGGTTCCAGGAAGATTTCTTAGGAGAGAAAAATGGAAGTTATAAATTATTTGAGAGGTTTGGACTTCTAAAACATTTTATTGAGAGACATTTGGAAGAAATGGAGGTTTGAAAAGGTTTAGTTAGATTTTTCAAAGAAACTAAGCAAATGAAAAACAGATATTAAACTCTGAGAGACACAAAGTACAAGAAAGGAACTGCCATCATAATACAGTATTTGGCTTAACAGTGAATAATATTTACATGGTCATTATACTGAAAATTCTGAACATGGATTTAACCAAAACTTGAGATTAGAGTTGGAGAAGAAATATAGATGAGGGCCAGCCGAGTGGCTCATTGGTTAAGAGTTGGCTTGGGAGCGTGAGCTCTGAGCAGCGGGGCCACAGGATCAGATCCCACATGGCCCAGTGATGCTGCGCCCTCTACAGCTAAGATGGTGAACAACAGCTCGACCTGGAGCTGGGCTGCCGTGAGTCACTGGCGACAGCATAGGCAGTGGGGCTGCAGTGGGCTGCCGTGAGCTACTGTGAGTAGCTGGCAGCCAGTGTGAGCGGCAGGTGTGAGCCGCCGTGAGTGGCTGTCTAGTGGCCAGCAACCTGGCTCACCTGGGAAGAGCGCAATGATCACAATACCAACATGGGCCAGTGAAGTGGTGTCCTCCACAGTTAGACTGAAGAACAAAAGGACAGCAACTTGTCTGTTTCCCTCCCCCAATTCCCCAATAAAATCTTAAAAAAAAAAAATAGATAAGCTAAAATTCTTATCTGCTAAAATAGGAAATTAATAAATAAAACCTAAAATTGAAGAGTGAAGAAACAATATACACATATTATTTAGAAATACAGAGATAAATTCTGGGCTCAATAGCGAAAATTGTTGAGAGTGGTTGTCCCTAGATGAGATATGGAGAGGATAGACAAAATAAGAAACTGTTCTTTTTTTTTTTAATTACAGACCTTTTAGCACTTTTTGACTTTTAACTATTTGCATGTAATACCTTGATAAAAATAAAATTGGTTTTGTTTGTAAAGTGGAAAACCAACTGATATGTTCATCTCACCGATAAAACACTTTAGGAAGTTTAATCCTTTGGCAATTATCTTTTCTATTTGTTTTCCAATTATGTTAAATGTATGATGCCTATGAACAGTGGCCTTGTTTTCTTTTTTAGATAACACTTGTTATCTGGGCTGTGATTCGCATTGGACCAAATGGCTGTGACAGCATGGAGTTTCATGAAAGTGGCCTGCTTCGATTTAAGCAAGTATCTGATATGGGAGTTATACATCCTCTTTATAAGAGCACAGTAGGAGGAAGGCGAAATGAAAATTTGGTCATCACTGGCAACAACCAGCCGGTAAGTTACCACATTAATTGAGAGACAATAAAGAAAAATTCTTTGTAAAAACCTAGAGCTGATTCTTGGAAATGGATGTTTTCCTTTAGGGAAAGCTCATAAATATATTTCATAATATTGTTGGTCTTCTAATTTATTAATATTAGATACTTTCTTAGTATTCTAGATTTTGTTCCATGGTAGCATTTCCTGTGATATAATTACTGTATGAATACATAGTTTACTCTTTTCTTCTCCATATGAGGAAACTATTTAAAAAAACATCTTCCCAGATTAGAATACCCTCTACTTCCTGGGAGTCTAGAAGAGAATATACCGATCTAGTCAGTGGCAGCCCATGCCAAATGGCTGCTGTGACACAGGTTTTTAACTGCCTAGAACCTCGAGGAGAGATATCCTTACTCCTCTGCCCATTGTAGGCCTTCGTCCATGTGCCCTGTGACCCCTGTATTTGTGCAGAGCAGTATAAGCAAATAAACATGTGAACCCTCATTTAAAGAACTCTTCCCCCAAGTGGGTGAAGGGAGAACAGACAAACGCATTTAAAACTATCTGAAGTTAGTCTGTTGTTATAGAGTGTTCTTACAATGTTCTTGATGAATTTTGGATGCAGTCTCCTTTGCAAACATTCATGAAAAGTGTTTTTCTAAAGATTGTTTTTCAGCAAGGGACCACAAAGCTCAGTGTAGAAAAGAACAAAACTTCTATTACAAGTGACATTGGTATGCAGTTTTTCGACCCAAGGACTCAAAATATCTTATTCAGCACAGACTATGAAACTCATGAGTTTCATTTACCAAGTGGAGTGAAAAGTTTGAATGTTCAAAAAGCATCTACTGAAAGGGTAAGTTTTATTTTCTTTGCTTTATTAATAGAAGAGAATTATTGTCTCAAGTTACAAAATGGGAGGGGAGTTTTACTGTTTGTTAGTGGTTTGAAAGAAATTCCAGAACAATGGAAAGGATTAGTTCTATGAATAGATGTGTCATTAACTCACTGATGTGATCATTATCAAGTCATCTCTCTTTATCTCAACATCTGCAAAATGTGAATGAAAACACTTGCCTTTCATATTTCACATTGAAACACCTATTCCTCCACCTCTGGTAATAATTCTCACTTTAATTTAGAAACTCTTTTCACTACTTTTTTTTTTTTTTTTCAGATTACCAGCAATGCTACTAGTGATTTAAATATAAAAGTTGATGGGCGTGCTATAGTGCGTGGAAATGAAGGAGTGTTCATTATGGGCAAAACCATTGAATTTCACATGGGTGGTAATATGGAGTTAAAAGCAGTGAGTATTTTTTTAAGAGTTTAAGAGAATTATTAGATTCTTGGGTACATAAATCCATATGTGGAATAGTATACAATTATTGAAAATGGTAATGTAGTTGTATATTTTTGACATGGAAAGATGTTCAAAATGGATTGTGAAACGAAAGGAAATTACAAAACAATTTGTGAACTATCTCATTTTTACTTTTTAGAACATATATGTATTTTATAAAAACCTGGGTGGGTATGCCAGTAGGTCAATGGTGATTAGCTATGGATCGCAGAATAACAGATGATTTTAATTTTAATTTTATTTCTGCTTGCCTGTTATTTTCTAAACAAAAAGTTTTTTTACATAGTGATTCCTGTATTATTTTAAAAGGGGGTAAGAAAAAACTCCCAAAAGAAAATTCTGGAAGATTAAAGTGAGTATTCATTCCACAAAGTTGCCAGGGCATTTTTTCAGTTACAGATTTTTCATATCCCTTCCAGGATACTTTGTACCCAGTGATGTGAAAATCAATTAGCAAATGTATAAAATATATTTTTATTTATATATCTATTATTATAAAGGAAAAATATTTTGCCTTTCTTATAGCTATTGAAAAGTAAGATTTTCTTTGTGCTTCACAGATTATATCTGAACCTTTTAATATTGGGTTGTCGGAAAAGTCATGACACATTTTTGCAACGAAAAACATAGAAAAAAAATATATCATAACTTTTCCGACAACCTAATAGATAACATATTTCATATGAGGGAGTTGTTAGTCCAAAAACATTGTACCTACTCACAATTCTAGTGAAAGTATATTCAAAATGTCTTTGGGCACCTACTATATGCTACTTAACTAAAGCTAATTAAATCTATTTTACCAAGCATTAAATGAAAAAAGAGAACTTAAACCTATGAACTTACAAAATAAATCTTTCCTTTTTTAAATTTCATTTCATAGGTCTTAGGGGGAAACACTTCTAAAAATTAAGTTCTTTCACTTTCATAAATAGCTTTCCCCCCTAAAGCACATATTCCAATCTCTAAATAATAAAGATGAACCTACAATGTGATTCTTGTCAGAAATTCAATAGCAATACTGAGCATTTTTTACGTGTACTGTATATAGTAAGAAGCCATTTCTCTAAGAGAATAATGTTGAAGAACGGTCACAGTGAGGCTGTTCTTTGCACTAGTAACTCAAAGAAGCAGTAGATGTTGCAGGTGTGTATTTAGCCATTAGTGAGTTACTAAATCTTTTCTTTTTTCCACCTGAAAATTCTACCTGTTGTTAATATGACAAATATTAAAATACTTTGAAATATACATACACATATATCAGTTTCTCCACAGTTAAAGAAAAAGCCAGAATTTAAAAAGAATAATTAGTTTTGTAATACAGTTAATATTAGTGGTTAGTTTTTAAGTGTATACCTAATCATTAGAAAGAATTTTCTCAAACAGCTTTTTAAAAAATAACTGCTTTAGTAATTTAAAGGAAATAAAATTAGATGACCACAAGATGGCAGCACTGGAACAAAATTCGAAAAGTCATCACTTAAGACTTATTTATTCCATATACTATCACTTCATAGTCAATTAGCCATTTTTATTACTTCATAACCAACTTCCTCATTGCTTTAAATACCCTCTGTAAGCTAAAGATTCTCAAATTTGGAATTCCTGCTTTAATCTCTCTGAACTATGATTTTCATATCCAACTGCCTCCTTACTTTCTCCACTTCAGTATCTAACAGGCATCTCAAACTCAACAAGACTAAAAT